CTCTTCCACCCATATTCCCTGAAATCCTTCTCCATCTGTATTTCAAGGCTGTTCATTAATCATCTCAGTTCTAGCTATTCTAAAGATACGAAGGAGAAATAGACAGTGATTTTGCTCTGAAACTGTCTATAATTTCATGGTGATAATAAGACGTCTGCATTTACAACTCAGATCTGTGAGATAGTGTTTAGTATCCAACAAAAACAGAAAACCTTCTTCAGGACCTAAATATCCTAGGAGGAAAGGTAAAGGTCTCCACTGCCTTTTCCTACTTACTGGACTGGACTAATGTACCAATGGTAGTAGAAAGTGGGAAGTGTGTGGACTCGGGCACAGGCAGATCTGAATTCATTGCCTAGGGATAGGGCCCAGGTAGGAGAAGGTGACTCAGATTTTTGCACTGGCTTTCCTGTTTGCATAATGTCAATACTTATACCTTCCTTTTAGGAGTGTTATGGATATTAAAAGAAATACTCTTTGTAAAATATCTATTAAATAACATATTCTCTTTTAAATCATACTCCCCTCTGGTACACTTCTCGTCTAAAATTCAGTGAGCGCATTGCAACAGACACAATCCATCAAAGGAAAAATATTTCTCTGAAATGTACCCCGAGCTGCATATCTTGTGTTGCATTTGTTAAAAAATGAAAATTGTATATCCTTCTTTAAAGTTATTAGATGTCACTTGAAATTTCAAAGCATTAAGTATCATGACTAAAATTAAATAAGTATAATAAGTAGTAGTTGATGCTTTTTAAATTTACCTCACAGTCTTCTCTGTCTCCTAGAAATCACTGGTATAGATGACTTGGTCATATGATTTTCATTACGAGAATGCCTCTGCTAGGATGTGAAAGTTGTTTACACAATTTAATATTCTACTTTCTAATCAACCACTTAAAGTCCATGAATAATAGAAAAATAGTAAAATCTGAAGATGACATGGAAAAGGCCTTTGACCAGGCTGAAGGACTGTAGATGGGAGTCAATTTAGCTGTAACTAACAGTCCTGAATTCATTGCTCCAGCTGGTTATTATTTTTGAGCCTCCTTACACACATATGACAATCAGAGGCACTTCCATGGGCCTCTCTTAGCTCTCCTGTGAGAATAGATATGGGAAAGGGTTTTATACTGTCAGGTAAAGAGAAAGAGAGATTTAGATACAATAGAGCCATCAAAGCAGTTTGCCTTCCTTAAAAGAAGTCTGACTGTGGGTGTGTGCGCATATATTCAATTAACAAACATTATTAAGTAACTATCACTTACTTTGCAACTGCAATTATTTATATTGATAGTTAATCTCAAAGACAGATACTACTCCCCTCATGGGGTTTCCCATGAAATATTCCAATAAGGACAAAACAGAGTTCACATTTTACCCCTGTGATGAAAGTGTGAGTGATCACAACACTCTCTTACAACTTTGTCATGTGCATATAAAGAATAAAATAAAATCACTAACAGGCTCCTACTACTGAAATTCCTTACTATTCTAATTTTACATTTGAAATACGATAATACATAGACATTAGAGGCCACATGCTCTTATTTTGGTTGAGTTGGGAAATACAGCACTTTATTGTGTTTGAGAAGTTTAAAGGTATTTAAAGTAATGTTGAAGAATTAAATTTCAAATTTTGTAAAAGCTTATACATTCATCTGGTTTAAAATTACAAAGGCAAAAAGGGGAAAACAACAAAAATTCTCTTTCTGGCCAGTTTCCCTCTCCAGTGTAAACCACTGTCACCAGTTTATTTTGTTCAGTCCCAGGGACTGTACAATTTGAGAAACCTAGGGTCTAGTACATATCAAAAGAGAAGGAGATCAAGGGTCAGGGATATAGATTAGCAATGGGTTAAGAATGAAAATAGAGATACACTCATCTTATTGAAAAATAAGGAATGATTTTAATAGAGGAAATACTAAAGCCTATCATCCATGCAGATAGCAATTCCACAACAGATTTCTAGAGCAGACCTGTTTGACCGGCTTGCTCTCAGACCAACTAAGGTAAACCAAGGAGAAGTAAGGCTGATGTGAACAATGTAAATAACCATTTGAAGTACAAACTTTCTAAAGATATAGTTCAGGAGGTTTAAAAGGCTGTCATCTGGAATTTGAGAAAAGGAGGAAGATAGGAGAGAGGAGAGGTAAAGAGGAGAGGAGAATTAAAGAGAAGAAGCAAGTGTAACCGTTGCTCAGGTTCATATTGAAAAAAATGAAATGATGAGTCAGTCATGCCCAGTTTCTCTTTCTAGTCCAATATTTACTATCCATGTGACTTTGGGCAAACCTTCAATGTTCTCATATGTAAAATAGTAACTTCATTTAAGAATGCTGCTCATATAATATGCAAAATGACTAGAATATACATGAACTATCTTCTCCTGTGACAAATACTAATTATAACTAATAAGAGGACAACTTTCAATCTCTGAAGGATTGAGATTCTCGAGGTAAAGTTTATTTATATAGGTTATCTGTATGATGGAGAAAATCTGAAAATGATCTGTTTTCTTTAAATTTGAAATAAGAGAATTCATAGCTGTACAACTCATTAAAAAAAAAAGATGAGTACACTACTCAAAATCAGTCCAAGAGTTTAAGTTAAATAGTATTTTTTAGGACCACCAAAAATATAAAATATTAAAAAATAGTCACTATACTTCAATAGAGAAACTTCAGTGTACAAGGTTCTATAACATTTCTATAACATCTCAATGAGAGTGATTCTAGTATTTTAACTTGGATATTTTTTCCCAAGACATTTTGATGAGGGCAAAATTTGTAATTAGTAGCCTCGAAATTTAATTGTGTCATTACTCTTGTACATCCATGTAGTGTCCACCTTTCCCAAATTAGCTTACACAATTAGCTCATGTTGTTTCCCACCTGTAAGGACTTTCCCACCTGTAAGAGTCAAAGACTGCATGGGAGAAAAGTAGCACTGGCCAGCAATGTTTCTTATGTAAGTCCTGTCAAGGTGTTTTAGGCTCCTAAGCAGTTTGGAGAAAGGGGAGCAGAGATAAATCTTGCTATGGGAACTTAGTGCCACTCTTAAAATTTCACTATATGGCCCAAGTTTCAATCAAACATGAAAAGTAATTGCGTCCTTGTGCTTGAATCTGCCTTGGCTAATGCCTATCAATATTTTCATGACTTATTTTGAGGTGCGGCCAATGGTAAATGTCTGAGTACTAAGCAAATAGCATTCAGTGTCTCAGTACTAGGCACACAATTCAATTAAATGCATAGAAAAGAAGTTTATTCAAGAGAGATAGAGGGAATCACAGCACAAGTTTCATAGACTGTAGTTAAATCTAAACTATTTGTCACACTTTCTTAAAGCCTTTTGAGTATATATGAGAGACTGAGATAATGCTTTGGGTTTTTATAAATTGAGTTTGGTAGTAAACTCCCCTGTAAAAACACCATTTGACACGCATTTTACCTTGCATTTCTTCATCTCAGTTCCCTGAAACTGAAAAATAAATGTGTAAATATATTCTACTTTACATAGATTTACAGATTAATCAGTGTCTAATGACTCCACATTTTGAAATTAATAATTACATAATTTGTTAAAGCTCACAGCATTCTTCTTTCTTAATGACTTATTCCTTGTCTTCCTAATTTACAAATGCTGACTCAGGCATCAGTAGGAAGATAATAGTGGTCAGTATAACTTGGGTCTTAATCAGTTTCAGAAGTATTTCAGAGAAAACCATGCATAGTGCTTACTCATGTTTGCATCTGGTTTTTTGATACTGTCAGATGTTTTGTGGGTTAAATTCATTATTACAAACTTATGTCAAGGAGCTACTCACATTTTTATTGCACTAATTATCACAAAAAATAATTTAACTGTATTAGATTTTTTTAAAAGAACACATCCACTGAATTGGAAATTTCTTTCATAAACATAGTTGTGTTTAAAGATAATATTGGCCCTGGAATATAATTTTTGAACACTTAAATTTGCATTCTTATTTGACATGATCCCTTCATATCTCAGCTATACAGAAGGAGTTAGGGACATGACTTATGTCGACATAACAAGTGGTGCTTAGATACATGAAAGATATGTCTTAATCACTTCTTCACTTCCTCCTACCTGAGATTTAGTTCAGCTGTCCCACTCCATCAAAGATTTTGCACCTTCAGAAGTGTTTTCTATGATAGTTTATAAGAATTTAGTGATCTGCTTTACTTCATAAAGAAAATTATGAGGAACAAGGTGGAGAAATTACACTCCATGTTTCCTCTGTATAGTGACATCTGCTGGGCTGTAGCCCACAGTGATTTTTAAGCAAGTACCTGCTCATTTTATGGAGGCCGAAGCTCATCTCTCCCGAAGTTCAAGTATGTAGCTCATTGTGATCCGGAGAAATAATTTTCACTTAAACATCAAAGTCATTCCAGAGTTTAACAAGTTTATCTGAAAGTAGTGCTGAAATATACCCCCTGAGGCCTAGATTTGTAAACCTCTATCTGCTGGCATAGTTCAGAACAGCCTTCCTTTACAAAACTGTGAAATAATTTCTTGTAATTATGTTTTGGTAATATCTGGGAGGGTGGAGGTAGAGTCAACGTGGTGAGGTCAACAGAGTTACTGCCTTTCGGACATTAAGGAAACAATAGGAAACAATACCCATTAAAAGGATAAACATCTGCGATGAGGCTGTTGGTTTATCTCGACCGGTTTTAGAAAATTTTCTACGGGAAAAGAACGAGACTCGTGCCCTTTTAAAAACGCATCTCTTTGCCTTAAAAGGATTTAGTGATCCTTCTCTTGCAAAAGCTGCTTTGCACTTTGATATTTAAGGCCAAGCTTAATCTTGAATGCCTTCCAAGAGCAGCCGGTAACAAACAAAAACCTTGGAGCACACCCTGTTAAGTTGTTCACTCCACTGCAGAGCGCGAAAGCAGCAGAGGTGTTCAGTTCGTCCCCCCAGACTGCTGCGGCGCATTCCTGTATCTCTAGGGCGGCTTGTCCTGGGGTCGGCCCCGCCCTGGCGGCTCCCTGCCACCCTCTCGCGGGCGCGCTCTGGGTGGGGCCTCGCGGCGGGTGGAGATGCGGCCGAGTGTGCTGGGCGGGTGAAGCGAGCCGGCTGGGCGGCGCGCTGGGGCAGCCAGAGCCGCGCGCCGCGTCGCTGTAATCGGACACCCGAGCGCTCGCCCCATGCGCCGGCCACTTTCCATTCACTTCATAGTGCTTGATTGAGCGACGCAGAGCAGGGCTCCCGGTGCCGCGCCACTGCAACGCTGAGGATTCCTTTACAAAGAAACTCAGAGGACCGGGAAGAAAGAATTTCACCTCTGGGACGCCCTAGAAATTACGGTCTTTGGGGAAAAGGACTACAAACACGCGGATCCAAACCTGTAGCAAATTGACTTTTCCGTGCTGATCTCGTCCCACATCGGTAAGCTGGATTCGTTGTTTTCAGCATTACAAATTTAGAAAAATATAACTTTTGGGTCTGGGTATAGACTTTTCACATATCAGTGTGCTCAGGTCTGGATATTTTCTTAAGAGCGCATGCAGTTTGTCATGGAAGTGTTTCCCTTGCTGAGAGCCCGGCTGGAATTGTTTCTTTAGGTTGTGACACCTGCGGAGAGTTGAAAGCTGAGTATTTCCCTGCCTTCTAAGGCAAAATTACTCGAGAGGATTTTATAAAAGAGTCCTTTTCTTACGTGTTATTAGTGTTCAATCAGTACAAGTGAAAACAACAAGCAGCATGTCTTAAGTGTTTGAGTTAAAGGGAAGAAGTCATAAAATATGAGGGGCGGGGGCGTGTATGAGACACTTGGCTTTCAGTCCCTTCTCAGCTCTAGGTTGGCTTGAAATCACATTGCTCTGTATACTCACTCCACTTGACCTGTCATTTCATCTCCAATATTATTCTTTGCAATTTGTGGCATATGTAGCTCTCGTGGAGGCATATCAGATAAGATATTGTTAATAGCAATATGTAGAAATTCGTGATTATTATCAGCCTGCTTAATAAAGAGACAAAGTTTAGGCATATTTATAGCTTTGTGTGTGGGGGGTCTTTATACATAAAGTCAACAAAACCAGGGAGTAAATTACTAAGGGAAAGTCACCCTATAAAATCAGTTTTCTTCTAAGTTAATTTAGGGATGACAAGGTGAAGAGGTTGTGGAAGCAGGAAGAAAGTGTTTCTTTTGAAAATTACCAACACAAACATCTCTAGGGTTTCCTCCATCTGTGTGGTAAAAGAAGCATGCAGTTTTGTTTCTGCCTCTTATAACATATATACCACCTACGAAATCAACTTATAATTTTTGTTTACAATGGCATGTTCGGTTTAATTGTTCCTTTGCTTCTGTATTACTAAAGCTTTTCTATTGCTTCTGTTACTTTTCAAATTTTAGTGGCATTTCTTTATTGAATAAAATTAGTGGTAAAATTTTAATTTTAAAAGCCACATAATATTGAAGATCAGTATTGTTGTAACCTGTAAAAATAAATTTCTAGATTAAACTCTGTCATGTCATCTTATTGTATAATTGTGGTAGATTCAAAATGATGGTCCTGAGTTTATTTATGGTCCTGAGTTTATTTTGCATATTGTGGCCACTAGAGCTCCTATAGATATGAAGTTACACATTACCTGATCTTTGTTATTCAGACATTAGTTAATAGCATGTGTCAATTTTATAGCTATAATTTCAAACAGTAATACCTGTCTCTCTGATTTATCGTTTGACATTTTGACAGCCCACTTTCTAGTCGATTTATTTTAAATATGCATTGAGGGATATATGGTTCACTGGATTGCTCACCACTAAGTCATTGGTTTGAATTTGGCACAAATCCATGGTTACCTCATCTACATCATTTAACAGCTGTATGGTCATCTGTATAAACTGGCAGATAACTAATTCCAGTGATCAAGGATTGAGCACTAGTAGATCTCTGTGTAGAAATATCATTTCAGAGATGGTTACTCCAAAAGAGCTAATGAGTGTGTGGAAGTGAATGTTCATGTGGGATTTTCCTACTGCTACTATATTTATGGTAGAAAGAGAAGTTTTCATCCACTAATACCTATTTGCACCATTCTCAAGTCTTTTCAATGTAATGTGTTTTTTAAAGAGAAAAATAAGTTTAAATATTGGCTTTTCCTTTGGGAATCAGTAACTTTTTCCTGGCTGCCTTGTTTAATATTAGCATTATTTTGCTGGAAGATGAAATAATTTCACTTTTAACAAAGACTTCCATACACAAATGAAATCAAATCCAAATTTTCACATCTAAGAAACAGTCACAGCACCTCCTACTGTTTGCATGACTGTAAAAGTTCAGCTGTGTCTTTTGTGAATAGAGTGCTCTGTCTAGATTGCTGGTTTTGCGTGTTTGGTGGGAAGGGGGGGTGTGCTCCTAAAATGTGAAGTGAAATATAACAAATTTGTTATCTTTATTTTAAAGGTATTTTCCCTTGGATATTAACTTGTAAACCTGAAGAAATGGCATTCCAGGCAATTTGGGTCTTGGTTGGAGTATTTGTTTGTTCTACCTGTGTAAAAGGATCATCTCAGCCCCAAGCAAGAGTTTACTTAACATTTGATGGTAAGAAAGTTGATAAACACTCTGAGGACAATGTTGTTTGAAGTATTTTTTCTTATCCAGATTCAAAAATTACTAAAGACAGTAAAATATTACTGAGTATTGATTAGCTTTAAAAATATCTAGTGGACAGCTTTTTGGATGACAGCTATTTTAAATTATTGGTTAATAGACAAAAGCCTCTCTTGCATTTGTTTATGAAAATGCTTGAAGTATATTCTGCCCTTTTTGAAGTTTCTTCTGTGTTTGCATGCACACGTATGAGGAGATGGTGAAGAACTCAAAGCCTAAGGTCTTTGATCTTAGTAGTCACTTGGCTTTGTTGAGGAACACCCCTTAACTGCTAATCCTCATCAGCAGAAAGAGCTATGCAGGTTTAATTATTACAATTTTTTATAATACATATTGGGCCTTAGCCTCAAAACTGGTCTCTCCATACATTGTTCTACTGGTGTTTCTTCTATTTCCATGAGGAGTTCCTGAGGTTGGCAAAGTCTCCTAATTAATTGAAAAGGACCTAAAAGAATAGTCGGAAATATTGCAATATTTTGATTGCTGTTGTATGCAGATGTTCTCTTCAGAAGCTTAGGGAAACGAGTGTGATTTCAAATTTTCACAAACATGAAAGGCTTATGGTCCTCTGAGGGTATGGTTTGCCAAATGTGCGCATGAGCTTTAATGTATATAGTTCAAATGACTTGTAGATGGATGATTTTGGTCAGTCACGTAACGCATACTAATTGGACAGATGGAATAAGAAATGGATCAGAGGGCATCCCTGGTGGAGCAGTGTTTGAGAGTCTGCCTGACGATGCAGGGAACATGGGTTCGTGCCCTGGTCCGGGAAGATCCCACATGCCGCGGAGTGGCTGGGCCCGTGAGCCATGGCCGCTGAGCCTGCGCGTTGTCCGGAGCCTGTGCTCCGCAACGGGAGAGGCCACAACAGTGAGAGGCCCGCGTACCACAAAAAAAAAAAAAAAGAAAGAAAGAAAGAAAGAAATGGATCAGGCAGGAAGATCATCCTGCCAGTCAGGTCATTTATATTTTTATTACTTCTTTCAGCTCTGTCTCTGCATAAACCTCAGTGTCACTGGGCATATTTTCATTCATTTGAGAAATAGTATACTCTCAAGCCTTATGTAGCAGGATGTCTTTGAAACTCTATCTTGAATGTCAAACAGCAGTATGACTGACACTTATCACTCAAATGGCTATCCTTTTCTCTTTCTTTCTTAAATCACCAAGTGCTTTCCCCAAGGTCATCATAAGCACTGAAAGGGCCTTATTTAGAACTTAGAGTGTGTGAGCTTCTACTTGTTTCCTTAGCTTCTGAGTTAGGCATTCCCCTCAAAAACCCATGGCTATCCAGTTAAGTTGGGAAGAAAGGAAAAACAGACCTTTGAAGTATCTTTTTTTTTTTTTTTAATTACTAACAAATCTTGCAGTCTGCCAACACCTCTTCTCCTAAGTTGAGAACTATGAATTACCTAATCAAATAAAAAAGAAAGGCATTAAGGAACAGTACAATTTCTCCCCAGTTTTCTGTATTTCTCTCAGCATATAGGAAGATGGAGTGGTCTCATAGATGAGGTATCTAAACTTGCTCTCTCTATTACTTTGAAACTAATCGAACTTCTTTTAACTGAAACTTAAACCAAAATATGTAAACATTAAAAACAAGTGTGTCAGTAGAGATAATTCATTAGGTCTGTGTTTGAAAAGACAATTACAATTTACCTTTTACAGAGGAAATTAATACAGTCTTTTAAAACCAAACTTCAATACCATGTAGGACAGTGACTGCTATTTACAAAGTGACTAGAAATTATGATGGGCTTTTTCAAATTCTGCATATCTAAAATTTTAAATGCTCTTAATCTCAAAACAGATTCTTATAGAATAATACTTTAATTTATAACATATGCAGAATACAGCATGATTAGATAAGCTAATGATCTGAAAGCCTTGTAATTCCTATTTTATTCTTCCCAAGAGTCTTACTAGGAAATAATTAGAGAGATAGAATTCACTTAATTTGAATACTGTTTTAAAGAGATATATCAACAAGCATAATGAAATGCCACGGTTTCTAAATTAATACCAAAAAAACTCCAAAAATGAACTGTATAATAGACAAAGTATCATTGGAAAAGTACCTTGAGCAAAACCAATTGTTAAAATGTATATATTTTAATCATTAATTCATATTAATTTTCTTAAGAGATTTGACAGTGAACCTGCTTGAGATCCTGTTCCAAATTTCTTATCACTTAAAGTGTCTCTTTGATCTTATTATGACTTCTCTGAGTATCACACTGAATAGGTTACTAAATTTCTTACAAAATGGTTTAGTCTTAACATCAAAATATAGAACTTTGTACAAGGTTGACATATATATGAATATATGTTAATTTAAATATATACAGTTATATACTTTCATTTATTTCATAATTAAAAATTTCTGAGTGACACATTAGAAGAATCCTCTCAGTCTTGTCTTACTGTCCAATTAAGAATCACAGTCAATTTAAAGGTGGGTGAAATAAGAGATCTGTTCTCCCATCCAAGTTCCATCCCTTCTTGTGGTGGTGATAACATTTGTGAAACAATGATTTACAGATTTGCCTTCCCTATTCATCTAGTGCAAGGTCAACCAGATGGTCATCACTACTATGGGAGAATGTACTTCAGGTGTTATTAATTAGTTACATTTGTGCTAGATAAATCTTGCATGTTAAAAGAACAGTGACTTGGGCTTCCCTGGTGGCGCAGTGGTTGAGGGTCCACCTGCCGATGCAGGGGACACGGGTTCGTGCCCCGGGCTGGGAAGATCCCACTTGCCACGGAGCGGCTGGGCCCGTGAGCCATGGCCACTGAGCCTGCGCGTCCGGAGCCTGTGCTCTGCAACGGGCGAGGCCACAACAGTAAGAGGCCCACGTACCACAACAAAAAATAAAAAAAGAACTGTGACTCCTATTAGATATTGCATTTCATAATTTTTATAATTCTTATTTTTTGCCATATACCTTTTCAAATGAATAAAACGTTCATGCAAATTATTTTTGTTTGAGTTGAATTTTTCTTGAAAAAAATTCCAATTGTTTGACAAATTCACATTTCATAACATTATTGTATATTTTTTTTCCAGAAAATCTTTAAGATCAATAAGGGTCATAAGGAAAGGCGAGGCTATGTATATAAATAGACAAAACTTGTTTTGCTTGCTAATATACAAGGGAAATAATTGTTGAAAAGATTCTGCTTTATCAAGAAGAAATTTTAGCATGTAATCTTTTACAAAATCAGGAATAAATACTCCATAATTTGACAGAAGATATCAGTTGCATGTAATTTTAAGAAAAGGTGCTGAGCTTCAGAAAAATGGAAACATTGTCTATATTTGAATAGATATGAAATCTGATGACTACTTTAAATGTGTTAAATATTGTTTCTATTTAAAAATGAGATATTCTTTTCTCTTTTGTTTACATTTTTATTGAGATATAATTGACATATAACATTGTATTAGTTTTAGGTGTACAACATAATGATGTGATATTTGTATGCACAGCAGAATGGTTACTGCAACAGGTAGTTACCATATGTCATTGTAGAAAATTCCAAAAATTATTTTTCTTGTGATGAGAACTTTAAGATTTGCTTTCTTAGCAACTTTCAAATACAGTACTATTAATTGTAGTCACCATGCTCTATATTATATCCCCATAACGTATTTATTTTATACCCAGAAGTTTATATCTTTTGACCCCTTCACCAATTTTGCCCACCCTCCACACCCTGCCTCTGGAACCACCAATCTGTGCTCTGTATCTAAGGCTTGGACTTTTTTTTTTTAAGATGCCATATATAAATTAGATCATACAGTTTTTGTCTTTGTCTGACTTATTTCACTTAGCATAATGCCCTCAAGGACCATCCATGTTGTTGCAAATAGCAAGATTTCATTCTTTTTTTGTGGGCGAATAATATTCCATTGTATATGCATACCATATCTTCTTTATCCATTCATTCATTGACGGAAGCTTAGGTTGTTTCCATATCTTGGCTACTTTAAATAATGCTGCAATGAACTTGGGTGTTCATATATCTTTTGAGTTAGGGTTTTCATTCTCTTTGGATAAATACCTAGAAGTGGAATTACTGAATCATATGGTAATTCTATTTTCAGTTTTTTGAGGAACCTCCCCACTGTTTTCTATAGTTGCTGCAGCAATTTACATTCCCACCAACAGTGCACAAGGGTTCCCTTTTCTTCACAATCTCACCAACACTTATTTCTTGTCTTTTTGTTGGTAGCCATTCTGACAGGTGTGGTCTAAGGTGAGCTATCTCATTGTGATTTTGATTTGCATTTCCCTGAAGATGAGTGATGTGGCGTATCTTTTCATGTGCCCCTTGGCCATTTGTATGACTCTTTGGAAAATGTTTATTCATATCTTCTGCCCATTTTTTAGTCGAATTATTTGTAATTTTGCTATTGAGTTGTATGAGGCCTTTATATATTGTGGGTAATACCCCTTATTGTATATATAATATGTTTTGCAAATATATTCTCCCATTCAGAAGGTTGCCTTTTTATTTTGTTGGTGGGTTCCTTTGCTGTGCAGCAGCTTTTTACTTTGATATAGTTCCATTTGTTGATTTTTGCTTTTGTTGCCTTTGCTTTTGGAGTCAGACCCAAAAAGTTGTCACCAAGACTGATGTCAAGGAACTTATTTCCTGTGTTGTCTTCTAAGAGTTTTTTGTTTCTGGTCTTACTTTTAAATCTTTAATCCATTTGGAGTACATTTTTGTGTATGCTATAAAATAATAGTCTGGTTTTTTTTTTTTTTTTTTTTTTGCATTGGGCTGTCCAGTTTTTCCAACACCATTTATTGAGGAGGCTGTCCTTTCCCCATTGTATATTGTTAGCTTATTTGTTGTAAATGATTGACCGTGTATGCTTGAGTTTATTTCTGGGCTCTGTGTTCTGTTACATTTAC